CATTCTATCCAAATCTATTGAGTCCCACCAGGTATTTTTGCTTGTTCAAAGAAAACACAAAACTAACAATTTTGTTTCTCAATTTCACATACTGCCTGACCTCAAAACCACAAATTGTTTCCCCTCTTCCTGTCCAGTCCCCGGAACAGTGACCAGTCCCAAAACCAAGACATTGCCAGTTAAACACCACACCGTAGGAAGAGAGGAGGGTAGAAAACACTGGCAGGGTCAGAGACATAGAGAGACCTCCTGAAACAACACCTCCTGCCTTATTTGGGACAACAAATTTATCTCATCTGCTGCTTCTCCAGCTTCTGCTGCGCTTCCTACCCAAGGAGAGGGGCTGACTTGTCATGAGAAGCAGTGCAGTCAGCACACGCTGTCTGCACTGAGGAAGTGTTGTCTTAGCAGCTCCACCTGTATCTCTCACAGTTCTGGAAGACAAAATGATTCACACTCTTAGAAGAATGGAAGAGTTAAGGCTGTCTGAGGCAGTGAAACAAAGATGGTTTTAAATTAGAGTGGAAAAAAAGAAGTATGACTGCTGAAAAAGTTACAGAGTGGTCACTACTTAATCATCCGTACAGATCTGCCAATAATGTTGAATCACTGGAGGGGAGCATAGGGAGGACACAACTAAAAATTCAAGTATCAGTTTTAGTGTACTTGGCTAAATAACAGAGAAGGAAGAAAGGGAAATTGCCCTCACTTGACAAAACTTGATGATTCTTACAGACTCTCTTTAAATGTCACCTTCCCTGCTGGCACAGAACAGTAGCAGGCAAAGCCATAGGATTTGCTCACTGTTTATTAGGCACTACATACCAGTAAGGATACTCACAGCACTAAGGCTTTGCATGTGGTAACAGTTATTACTCTTCCTTTCATCAGCCCACAGCCCACCAACCTGTCCAACCTTACTGCAAGACTGTGTGTGTTGGCAAGAGGCTGAAACAGAAGGTTTTGTTGAGTCGTCCTCTTCACTGGTAGGGTATGAAATACTCTTGAGCACAACTCTCAAGGAAGCCCCTTCCCAAGATACACACGGCCCTGTTGGCCACATGGAACACTTCTCTCCTCCTGTGCTCTGATCATCAGAACAACACTGATGGTTGATGCAGACAAGAGGACATTCCCCCCTTTGCCAGGTCCTCCCTGTCCCCAGCCAGAGGTGCAGGCTGGGCACACACCACTGTGGAGCAGGGTGAAGCACAAGATTAACACCATGAGTACCAGGACTGCATTACTAACCAATTACTCTGATGTCCTAGAGTCTTTTAGTTGCAATACTGCAACACTATCACACTAATGTTAACTTCTGCACTTAGCAGGAAAAGACTTTGAGACAGTTTGTCTAAGTGTATTTACACAAAGCAATCTGTTCTCTAGCAGTCCTATTCTTAGCAATTTTATTAGATACAGGTATATTAAACTTTAGTCTGCAATTTACTTGCCCGGAGATGTTCTAATCTAGAAGACTGTTGCTTTAAAACTAGCTTTGCAGGTGAACAGAAGGTCACCCGATATTTACCACGGATAAACAGATATTCGCCATCTCCTCCCATTACAGCTACTGCACTGTTTTGTGGTTTCTGGTTTACTTGTACATTAAATGACGAATTGTAACATTGGGGGGGGAAGGTATTTGCCAACAAAGGATCATGCACTCTCAAGTTTGGGTTTTTTAGAATGCATCTTCCAAAAAATGCAGGAAAATATTCAGAAGTGTTATTTAAAGGTGCCTTTCAAATCACACTGCTATGCAGATTTCGAGTTCCTAGCTGAACAGCTCCTCCAGTGACAGCAATACACAATAAGCTTTAAAAGAAGAAAAAGGCTTAGAAGAGTTAGAAGAAGGCCTTTCTGAAAGCATGTAAAAATATCATTGCTAGACTATCTAAACATGCTTCACAAAACGACACTCAAGTTTTCCTTTTCATAAGCATTACAGACTTCAAGAGAACAACATAGATACTGATCATACGCTGCCCTTTAAAAATCAAAGGCAACCAATTATACCCCAGTTCCCTCTCATACTTGTGTTTTATGCAGAAAAATATCAGGGAAAGGAAAGCGACCTTTGCAATTTCTCTTCCCATTCCCTCCTTTGTTTTGCTTATTCAGTTATACACTCTTTTTACGTAACACCAAGTGCATCTGCAACAGAAACACCTCATTCAAACAGCACAGATTAGAGCTGCTGATATAGACAGAAAATGTCATTTCTGTAACAAAGCCCCTAGGATCCTAGCACGGAAATACAGGTTTATGTGGTGATGGAGAGAAGGGTAGACCTAATTCATGAGTTTTCCTCATCTCTTCCAGCTTTATTCACAAAATTTGCCAACATTTCACAAAGCCCAGAACATATCACTCACCAAGTTTCCTTCATTTGGTGTCGAGTTCTCACCTCCACATTACACACAAAGTTACAGGGGAAAAATAAAAGCCTGCCCTGAATCTATGTTGCAGGCTGAGTTTAAGTCCCTAATTACAAATGGTTATGTCACCTTCTCACCCAACAGATGACCCAAGCTCAGAAAAGGAGAAGTTAAAAACCTGCAATACACCTTCAACACAACTGAAACAGAACACTACCTCTAGTTAAGACAAGTAAACTTATTTGACTGGTTACCCTCTCAATCACAGAATAAAACTGAAGCGGAAAACCAACTCGCTAACTGCTCTGCTACTAAAAGAAAGGACAAAGTCTTAACCTTCTCAATGAGCCCATACATACCTACTATCTTGTATTTCCTTTTGCAGAGATGGAACATACTGAAGTCTATCTTTGACTTTGTTTCTGGAATTGAACACAGAATAACTCTGGAGCGCCATCTCTGAGATGTATGACTGCAAGTCTCAGATACCAACTGCTCCTAATGAAGCAGTGTGTCAGTTCTGATTTAGTTATGACATACTCCATAGAGAGGGGACCTAGTGACAGTCCTTTACAAATCTATCAGTCTGGAAACAAACACATATATTGCTCTGTCTACATATGTTGAAGTCGTACAGATAGGCTTTCCAGGCTTGTTCTGCATATGGTGCTGAGCACTGAGGAGGGTAAAGAAAGAACGGACAAAAGAAACCAAGCTATTCTTTCTACTTTGTAGCTTTCAGTATAAAACATGTTAACATCTGCATATCAAATAGAATATATTTAAACTGACTTCATGTAAGTGTTTGCTTAAAATCCTCCCCAAAACAAAAGCCATGCTTTATAGGGAAAAGCAAAAAGAAGGGCCTCCTTACCCATACACCATCCCAGCAAACACTTCTGGGTAGCTGTTTGTAAATGATGCTTCAAACAAACATACTAAGACATTTCAAGACTGTAAAACAAATGATTTCCAATTGTCAAGATACATCAGCAACGCCAATCAACAAATGCTTCAGGAAGACTCTAGAAGGTATGCAGATCATGCTAAGACCACTTTCCAAGCAATAGGCAAAAGAAACCACACAGTTCTGCAGTCAGCAGTAAAACTATCCCAAGGAAACTGCTTTCAAAGATTGACAACCATATCGTCACAGGACAATGGCTTGAATTTTAACTACCACGTTCAATACACCCAGTGAGTCCCCAGGGTCATATGCTGCAGGACTTTAACATCACCATTACGCCCATGAACCTTCCCATTTCCAATTAGTAATACACAGGATACCTTGAAAGTCAATCCTTCCTTCTGGAAGGCCTTTGTGCTTTAAGGCATAAAGCAGACTTTTCGAAGTATCCCTGCCACTGCAAATACTATGTGGACTTCTTTTGATGAGCAAATACAAACATAGGAAAAGATTTTTAGAACAGCACTATCTGGGAAAGCTTGAGCTGTACCAAGCAAGGCAATTTTGAAGCAGTGCAACATCGCAACAGTTCTAACCCCAGAGACCAGTACCTAGCTTGCTGCTGTTGCCATCATCTCCTTAAGAACTGGAAGCTCACCTAGAGTATCCACAGAAACACTGCATCTCGGAAAGGCACACGACAGGGTACCAAAAGGCACATTATCACAGAGGCTTCAGCTCTTGTAGCCTAACAAAAAGAGTGCTCCATGTGCATCAACACTGACTTTCTGACTAATCAGGAGTCTGATCAGACTCCAGAGCTGTGTGCTGCCATTCCTTTTTTTTCCTTGTTTACATGGCAAGACCTGTGGATGCAGCCTGGGCAGAAGAGAGGGAAAGAATTTTAGGAGGGCTGTTCATACTTCGCACTCAGCAGATTCACCTCCACCCCTTTCCAAGGTTTAAGCACATACAAAGAATTGATGGCTGTTTCCTTGCACGAAGTGCAGTAGCCAGGATGAAAATCAGTGCATCTGAGGGCAATACTAGAGCCTTCCTTAGTATTTCAGTTCAGTCCATCACCTTGATGAGCCTATGAATACTAACAAGCCAAAGTAAGTTCAGTAATAACTGCCAAGCAAGCATGCAGAGGGGAAAAACCCTACAGCTTCTGTAATTAGCTCTAACAGCAAACGAAGAGCCATACAGTCGAGAAACATTGCACAGCGCTATTTGTATTAAAGAGGTTCCCTCTTGTTCCCCCCCATTCTGAAGAAGCAGCAGCAAAGTCAGTGCAAGGAATAGAAGACCTACCCTTCTGACACGAGCTTCATGTGAAACTTGTTAGCCTTGTGCCCTGATAGTTTCAAGTGGAGACGATTAAGAGATGCACAGACTTAAAGAGAAGTTTGGCTCTATCACCTACATGCACAGCATAAGTCAACTCTCTTTTGAAGAGATGCACCTTTTCATGTAACACTAAAATTAAGACACTTTAAAACTAGAAGTATTCCTGTACGAAGACTTTCAGTACCCTCCGCATCTCAAACCAGAAATACAATGCATCTATATAAAAAACCTAGAAGAAAAACATCCCACACACCCACTATATTTAGACAACCCCCTGCACGTCCCCACACGACAACATCCGTGCTTTAGCACTTATTTACACCTTTATATTTGTACGTTTGAAATTATTAAGACGTTCTTACCTGTATATCCTGCCCACCAGCCCCAGGAAGCCACCATAGCTAAAAGCCACTTAAATAATACTCCTTCGATATACCAGAAGCTTTGACTATCCAACACTCGGAGAGGCTGCAGCATAATTAAATACAAGACGTAGGACGGAATAGCAACCAGGTTATTGGCGACCATAAAAGCGAACCTGAGGAGTGCTTTCAGGCAGACACAGCCCACCCGCTGGGCCTGCTCTAGAGTCACGGCCATTCTCTTCACAGCGGAGGGCGCGGGACCGTCCTGCAGGGAAAGGGAGAACGAAGCTCAGGTAGCGCTGTCCGAGCGGGACGGGACGAGGCGAGGCGCGGGTGGCCCCAGCGCGCTCCCGGGACCTGCCTCTCACCGGTCAGAGAGGCTGCTGCCCCCGCGGCAGGAGGGCACGGAGGAAGCGGCTCGACCCTCCCGCCCACGCCGCAGCAGCGGCCGCGTCCCCTCCCCTTCCCTCAGCGGGCTCCGGGGGACCCCGGCCGCAGCTCGCCTCAGGAGGACACGCGCGGTCCCCGCCGGCCTCCATCTTCCCCCCCCAGAAAAGGTCGCGGGCGTTACGGAGCTGCCGGCGGCCTCTTCCCCCATCGCAGAGGGGCTGACAGGAGCCGGGGCCCGCTGGCGGCGCTGAGGGGCGCGGGCCCGGCAGCGGAACTCACCTCCGGCAGGGCGGCGGGGCTTGGGGAGCTGGGCCCGGCGGTGGCGGCAGTCCCGGCCGGCGGCGGCTCATGGACCTGGAGGAGGCGGCGGACCCGGAGGTGCGTGGCTCGGCCCCCGCAGCGCTACTCGCCCTGCGGCTCCCTGCGGAGAGACAGAGAGAAGGGGGCGGGCGGCGTGAGCGCGGGGGCCGGCGGGCGGGGAGGCGGGAGCGCCGGGCAGGGCGGGCAGGCGCAGACCGCGGGTTCACCTCAGTTCTCCCGCTCCGGCGGCCGGGGCTGGCTGGGCCTGGAGCCCCCTTCCCTTTCCCCTCCCTGCCTGCTCCGCACCGCGCCAAGCGCCGGCCCCGCTAGGGCAGGGGTGGAGGGAAGGACCCTGCACCTGCCGGGGTAGCGGGGGCCGGCCCCCGCAGGGTCCGTACCTCAGCGCCGCCGCCTCCGTGCCCGCCGCGGGCCGCCGGCGCTCCATGCCGGCCGCTGGGGCCGCGCTCCCCGCCCCCGCCGGCTGCGTGTCCGCCGTGACCGCCCGCCCGCCGCCGAGGAGCGGGGCCGGCGCTGCAGCGAGCGCCGCCCCTCGGCCCCTCTCACAGACACAGGAGCGCCGAGAGGGCCCCGCGCCCTTGGCCGTGTCTCCCGAGGCGGCTCCGCGCCGCGGAGGGGCAGAAGCAGGGGGTGCCCCTGCTGCCGCCGTCCGGTGCGGCGACAGCGAGAAGCGGCCCGGCCCCATTCTCCCCCGCCTTCGCCTTGGCAACCTACTGCTCTGATCCCCCTTGGCCGCTGCTTGGTTAAAGTTGGGCGCAGGGTTCCCCAGAAAGCCCGTTCTGGCCCAGACAGCAACAACGCGTTTTGTCCCTGGGGGTGTGCGTCCCTTCCACGTGCTTTTTATAGATCAACTTACAGGCTTCTTCCTTCCCTCCCCTGCAGCCACAAACAGCATCATCTGCTTCCAGCGATGGTTAACCCGGGCCCAGCAGCAGCCGACGGGTCAGACTCACAGTCCCCTCCCAACAACCTGCACCCCACAAACCCCAGCAGGGTTCTGTGTAAGTAAATCGCCCCTTGTGGTGATGCTGTTGCCTTTCCATTGTGCCTGCCTGACACAAGTCACCCCCATAACCTCTGTACAGGCCTTGGAAGAGCACTGTTGGAGCTCCTTCAGCCCTCTAACCCAACCCAGTTTCCTCAGCTTACTTCAACTATTCCAGTACCAGTTGGGCAGAATGGCAAGTGATTTTAGCTCTCTTTGGGAATGTTTGTTTTCTATTTGTTTTCTATTCTAAGGAATAGAAGCAGGTGAAACCCCCCACACCTTAAGAAGGAGACGTGCCAGAAGGTCCTTTGTGCTGAAAAAGGAGATAGTTTTCAAATGGCAATACTTCAGCCTGAAAGCCATATCGCTTTCACATACAAACAACACCATGCATAGAGCTAGCCCACTGTTTCCTAGACAATGAGGCTTTAGAGACGACTTGTACCATCAACTAAATTAAATCCAAACCTCCATTCCAGGCAGCAAACAAAGTTGTTACTGCAGATAAATTTCATTTGAGACTCTAAAAAGATGCAAACAACCAAATAATGTCCTCATGTTCTATTTGAGCAAAACAAAACAAAACTGCTGACCTTCTGCACAGAAAGGATGCGTCTTGCCTAAGTGTTTCCAAGTCTGGGTGGTTTTCTATGTTATTTTCATTACTAGGTTAAATTTGACAGTTGCACTCTGATCACTATGAAGTCAGCTTGAGTTGTTCTGAAGTGCTACCAGCTTCAGTAAGCCTCGGGTGGGTATCTTTTATCTTAAGCAAACAACTCTGGACATACCCTTGAACTTACATGCAGCAAAACTTTGCTCCAGCATCCTCAGGTAGAGAAAGGATAATTTTTAGGCCATAACTGAAGGTACATTGTCAATTTAACAATCCAACAGAAAAAAAAAAAAAGGCCTTTTTTATGATTTCAAGATGAACACCATGAATTATAATGAATTTTTATAGAATTTGGTATCTTGATTATATTCATACACTGTACAATTTGGAGTAACGTTCTCAAGTCTGATGCATCAAACTGAGGGACAGCGGGACAGCAGAAATTACATCAGACAACTGATGAATTAGGCAATTTATACTGCAGAAAGGGACTGCACATGGGGAAGCAGGCGCTACAAAGCATTCTTTGTCACAGTGGCTGCCTTAAAGCTTAGGAAGCTGTGGTTTAGTGTTTGCTGAATGAGCTCCTAGGAAAGACCCACCCCTATGCCTCATTTCCTGGCCTTTCCACGGACAACCCAAGTTGTGGAAGAGTGCACAACAAAATACCCCTCATGGATCTTGAGAGGCCTGCTGTCTGTCATCCAGCCCGAGGCTCTGAGGGATCCTCTCTAGTATAAAGTAACACACACGTGTATATGTGCCATTACTGCAGACAAAAAAAAGGAAGCAACTAAGCAGTAGAAACTCAGTTCATTTGGTCAATAATGCTGAAGCTCAGAAGTTTCACAACTGGGTTTTGGTTTTAAGAATAAAAAGTGTTTCGTTTCTGGAAGCAATTCCTCCCAATCTCTGAACTTTATAAGCTTTCTCTGTATACCGTTTGTCATTTTACTATTAGAAATGCAAAAAAGGCAAAAGATTAATAAACTCTCAACTTGTGGCCCTTTTTAACCATTTCTTTTAAGTTTACACGGTTTTTGATGGAATATCCCCCTGTACCTATGTCTTCTCAGCCCCACCTAAATACTAACAGGGATGTCACTACTGATCGTTGTACAAATACATTTTAATGTGCTTATTAACTGGCAGATACAGATACTACCATTGGTAATATCAGGTGACTGACTGAAGTCAAGGGTTGCTGGAGCAGAGAATTAAATTCTGGAGTGGAATTCTCCCACTCACCTCCAAAAAAACCCTATAACCAAAACCACAGGAAAATAAGGTTACTCCTGTCTGTAAGAAGGAAAAACATGCTGTTACTGAGGTGGGGATGTAACACAGTCATAAACAAACACACGTGTTACATTCAGTTACTTAAAAAAGCCACGCTAAACAGCACAGAGTTTACTGCAAGGGAGCTGCACCGTCTGGAAGATTCTTAACTCACACAGGCTGGATGTGATCCCTGGATCTAGCTGCAAGATTCTAGCCAGGTTTTGGTTGTAAACCCCTTGAGAGACTTCAGAAGATCCTGGGTTGTGTCACTGGGCACACTTCAAGACGGGATGAGCACCTGGCATTCTCAATACGGTACCAGTCCAGTGGCAGGTATTTGCATTCTGACTGTGCCGCAGCATTAGAGCAGCCTGCGAGCATAGCTGCGAGGCAGGAACGCACTGCAGGCATTCAAGTAGTGCACAAGTCACAGAGGCATGGATAACCATAATGAAATCCAGGTCCAAAGCTGTAAACACCAAACCAACTGAGAGCTTTGTTTCTGGAATTCAGAAACAGCAAGGCTTTGGAAGGCTTTTGAAACTCTGTCTGGGGCAAAGACTGGGAAGTAAAAAGCTGCTCATTCGTCCTGACAGATTCAATCAGTTCTCTCTGCTTGCCTTCCCTGTAGCAAACTGAAGTCACAGATGCCATATGGTCAGTGAAAAAAAAAAGGATTAGGAAGATACATCATGTGCTGATGACACCAAAACCAAAAGTACTTTTAGAAACCATAAAGGCTTGTCATGCAGAAAACAGAGACAAGAAAATAGCCTGAGAAATCTCAGATATTCTATAGAGCAGAAAACAACTACTGTTCCCAACCTCTCAGAAAGAAAAGATGTAAGCAGACAAACTGCCATGAGGAACTACAAAGATGGGAGCATGTGCAGAGCACAGGCTGCTGGAAGGTGTGTAACATGAATCGGCATATACTCAAGGGACCATAAGTCTGGAAAGCATTGCAAGTGAATTGTTAGCATTAGATTTGGAAAAAGAACAGATTAAAGAAGCACCAAGAAGAACCTAACAACTGTGTTTTCTACAGGCTGCAATAAAGAAAGAAGGGAAAAGAATCACAGAATGGTTAGGGTTGGAAAGGACCTTAAGATCATCCAGTTCCAACCCCCTGCCATGCAAAGGGACACTTCACATTAGACCATTGCGCCCAAGGCTTTGTCCAGCCTGGCTTTGAACACTGCCAAGGATGGGGCATTTACCAAAATAAAAGGGAGCAAGTTGTGGGCCTGTAAACCCAATTATTTTTAACCTCCAGTTCTGAGCTGCTTTACAGTGTTAGATACACTGGTGTGGAGGATTTTTGCACTGCTGTCTTGAGAACATTAAATACTGCATTCATTTTCATAACAACAGTTAATCCTTCCAAATATGCTCTAACAGTCCTCCATATGAGAGGCAAAATCCCCTCTATTCTCCAAGTAAGTTCTTCACTATAAAGGATGAAATCAGTCACTCCATCACTACCAGCTGTACCTCTGGAGAAACACGAGAAACATGCTTGTTAACGTCCTTTAATCTTCAGTGCCAAGCTGTTCCTGCATCCTCTCTTACTCATCCAACAGCAGACCACACTGCTTAAAAGCTTTACTTTCAGTGATCTCTCAAATACAGGAGTTCCTTTTGAAGACTCACATTTATATATCCCACACAGAATGCAAATCCTGGGCCATTTTCCGATTTTTCTCTGGGAAGTAACTGTTACCAGACACTTTGACCTTCCGGTCAAAGATGCTTTTGTTTGCATCTTAGTTCCTTTAAGGACACTTCAGGGTAACATGAAAATGGAAGTAAAATGTGCCACTGGCTTCAGTCCTTGTTGCATTCCTGTATTTATGTAAAAAAGGCTTTAACTGTGCTGACATAGAGCTCAGCTCCCTTCCCTTGCCCCCCTCTCCAGAGCCACATACAGTATCCCTTCACCAAGATCAGCCAGCTGCAGACAAGTCAGCCTTGCCAGTTCCTACAGTTCTAGCATAAGAGAGTTGTCATTCGTGCTCTTAAGATTATAAGTTCTTGGATCAGAACCTAAGTTTTTTCACATTAAAAATTACAGGCCTCAGAGAAATGGGTCATCAGTGGGACCAAAAATAAATGCATGCTTCCCCCTGCTCTACCAGCTTGAGCTGACATCAAATAGCAGACATAGTTAGTTCTTACAAGACTGCAGGGTGCAAGGTTAAGGCCTTGAGTTGTTTTAGGGCCATTTTTTATCCTGGGAGGAGGTGGCAAAGAACATTTCCCAGCTTTCAACAAAACAAAGGAAGGCGAGCCACAGCCAAGGAGGCCAGATGACATGGAAGACACAGCTACACTACGTCCATTCAAGTGCACATTATTAAGTGTGATGCTGGAGAAGGGAGAGGACCACTCACATCTAATGCTGCGTCTAACTACGGCCCTGTCACTCCATCTAAGTAAATTCTACTGCAAAATGGATCTTTGAACAGGGAGAAATCTGCACTCTCCTGCTCTGTACCTCACATTGAGCTTATCTGCTGCTCAATTTAACCGGCAAACGTAGACTCATAGAATCAACCAGCTTAGAAAACACCTTCAAGATCATCAAGTCCAGCCATTCCCCCAGCGCTGCCAGCGCCACCACTAACACATGTAATTGAGAGTTTGTGAACACTAAATTCTACATGATTTTTGAGCCAAAAATAGTTGGGTGCTCTCTACAGCAATGCATTTTTACCCCATTTGATACCTAATTCTTATTTATCATGTGTTTTCCAGTGGCTTCCTGAGGCCAAGGCAGTGTTGAAATAGATTTTCTGGGTAGGGACACATATAAAGTGATACTTTGTAAACTTTTTCAAGTAGAGTATGCTCTGAAAGTAAGTACTCTCTTATTTATGATTTGTCAATGTTGGGGCTTTTTTTAACTACTTTTGACACATTTATTTCCCTTGTAGCACAAAAGCAGTGTGATAACCAGTATCTGTAATTTTCCTATAGCAGAGCAATACCAGATCAAGGAATTTTGGACCTAGATAAGAACAGCACACTCAGCTTTCTTCATGACCTTACCATTTGTAAGGAAAATGAAAAAGCAGAGTACATCACATTTGAACTATTTGCCAGTTAGTCACAACTAGCAGGTGGTGAGGCAGATGTAACCACCTCTCCCTTTCCTCTACCAGCTACATGCAAATATCATCATTTTCCACTTAGGCAGAGTGTGTTAGCCTTCACAACAACGCCACTCTTGGATTTTCCATCTCAATCTGCTTCACATAAAATGTATACATCATCTGTATAATCTTTTTGGCTCCTTTTGGTCTAGCATACTGGAAATATAAGCCCTCTTGTTGCAGCTCCATGTCCTGTAACTCATATGCAGATCCAGTAAGATGACTTGTAAGCTATTTCACAGTTGTCCAAATCAGGATCGCCTTCAGACACAAGAGAGGTTAGGTCTCAAAAACAAAAGTTAGGTTTTAAACAGCAAAATCCCTCAAAATACATTTCAGTCTTCTTAAAGATGCAGAAGCTCCCCTAAAGTTCCCTTTTCTGGCTACAGTTTTTATAAGGGTGTAAGATTAGCAAGAGCTTAGTATTCATCACAGAGGGACAATGCCTTGAGTCTCAGATTTGTGACTTTTTGTTCATTTTAACAAAATACACATTTTGATCTGACCCTCAACATTGCAGGAACTTAACATATACATCTCCTAACAGGACACCCCCCCCCCCCATTGTTCCTGTATTACAATGCCATGTCAGACCACACCATATTTTCAAGTACCACTGCCTGTAACTGTGAGCTGAATAATTCAGGTGTTCTGAGGTGTTTAATTTCTCATTAAAACTAAAGACTTCAGCAGAGGCCAGTTATTAAAGATGGATTAACAGATAACACCACAATGCAACCAGATGGTCAGCAAGCAAGGAAGGCTTTCATTTGTTACTGCAGTGTAATGGGTTATACTGTGTGCGTGTCAATCAATTGGAGGCTTAAGTAGAGCACAACAAAGCTGGGTTCTCATCTCAGTTACATGGGTGTTCTTCACACACTGACACGCCTGGCACCAAGGGAAGTTCGAGCTGAAGGTTTGCTTTTGCTTTGTCTGGGCCATGTCTGGGTTTTGTTTGGTTTTAAAGAAAGAAGCTGTAGAGTCACTCCAGCTACTTACTGAACATTTAACCTCTGTGTTAGCTTGGTTCTTTTATCTGTGACATTGATTTACTTCAATCATACCTATAGATTCGTATTACTTTAGGGAGTGATGATATACTGATTACATACAAGCATGTGCTTTGCAAGATTTTTGTAAGCTCATAAAGTTTGCATATGGAAGCATGATACAAGCACAAAGATTAAGTCAATCTGTCTTTAGGCAGATGGCACTCCTAACACTTTCAACTATCACACTGGTTTGTGATTAGCCATTTTAAAAAAGGAATGTAGTAAAACTGAGGACTTGACTCCACTGAATTAATCCCTAATATTCTTCTCCATCTCTAGTGGCAAATTAAGCACTACACTGCACGCTCCTGACCATAAAGACCACATGCTGTGAAGCTCCTGTCTTCTTCAAGCTTGCTCAAGTGCATTTCAAGTCAACTGTTACCAGAGGGACTGGCCTGGATTTTGGTAAACTCTTATCAAGGTCCAGCTGGTGTTTGTAGATCAAACCGCAAATAGAAGAGAACTAAATAAATACTTATCCCTGTTACTAGTATGTTTCTCACACTCAAATTCACAGTGAATAGCTTGTTACAAAATTGAAGAGGTATTCAGACTACTCGATCATTCTTATGCTTGTTGGATTTTGTATCAATACAAGCTAAAATTAACACTGATGTTTCAGAAAAGAGGTAGTTTTTCTAGCTGAAAAAGAAAGTAAAGAGTCCAATGTAACAACAAAAACCACCTTTGTGGGGGAGTCTGTCCACGTGCTGAATTCCAGCAACTTCAGAGGGCACTGTGCAAAGTACAAAGATCCATCCCAGTTGAGTTGACTGAAGAACTGGGGACAAACCGATCAGGTCTGAGCCAAGGTCCACTGGGCATTTCTAGGAAGTAGGTATTGTAAAATAAATACAATATTCACTGAAGTCTGACCAGGACTTGGGTCTGTCCAAAAAATGCTTCATCTTCCTTCCCCCAGTTTAGCACAGCATGCAACCTCCTTGGTTTATGCCAAACACAGCTTTGCAACTCTTCTTAGCCTCCTCAAGACTCTCTTTAACTGGGTTACCAAAAGAAGGCAATGATAAATATGTCCATGCTGCAGGCTGGCTATGCAGTTTTTGCACAACCTAAAGCTAGCTGAAGAAATAGCACAAACTCTGGGAAATCCAAAAGGAGAAGTCACACCATCATTTGCATTTAAGCCATGTTCACCCACATCTTCTGCAGTCTCACTACCAGCTTGTTTCATGGCTCAAGCACAATATTGCTGTATCCCGGCTGAGTATCAGTGTCTGTGGTTGATGGCAATTAATCATTTCCTTGGGAAAAGTTCAGTTAAAGCTGGCACTGGTTAAACAGTAACCACTGAGTTAGATAACATTATCACTTAGGCATTAAAAGATAGCCTGGTTTTCTCCTTCAGAGTTAAACATGTAGGAGAAGGTTGAATCCCAGAAAACCCTGATACATCTTAGTGGGAAACTCCAGCTAAGGTTATCTTCCCAAGCCAGGGACAGTCCCAACATGCATCAGAGGAAGAGAAAGGGAGGAGGCTGCACAACTGCCATGTCATATGACTGGCATCAGTGGGAAGGCCCCTCTTGTCCTCTCCACAGCAAATCCAAGCTAGGCTACTTCATCCCAATATGCACTAAGCCAACAGTCATCATCAGTCAAAGAGAAATCTTACTCTAGTGAGATCAAAGTAATGCTTTTATATACTGCTTACCAGAGACATCCAAGACCAGTTTCCTTAAGTCTGTGCCATAGCACAAACATGTTTGTAAAGGATAAATATTCCATGTTTTCATGCCACAGAGTCAAGTGCTGCCCAAAAGCTCCACAGCTTGGCAAGTGCAGTGAGTGCTGGAAATTGTTCTTCCTAAAATACCACAATTGTTTATCATTAGTGCTATTGATGCATTTCAACTTAATAAAATGTTATGAAAGCCATTACTCCATTGTTAACTGTGGCTAAGAAAAGCAATCCTAATGGTGTGGATGAATCCAGCCAGACCACAAGGGATTACACAGCTTGATTTGCTCAGCCTAAGTCTCATAACAAAAAGGGAGAGGAAAACAAACCTAAGGTTTCAAAATTATAAAGATGTAACTTTAAGGCTACTTTTGCTTAGATTTATTAACCTAGTGTGTCTTTAGGGGAAAAAAATATTAAAGAACATAAAACCACAAGAGAAGGTCCCTTTATTACACAAAAGTGATGCAAGGGGAAAAGAAAAAACCCTTTCAAACATCTACTAAACTATTATCCCTTGTCCCCTGATAAGAATACTGTGCCCTCAGTAGCCCCAGTTGCACTGAGCTCCTTTGGACACACATAAACCCTTGTGTCAGGCCCGCTTGGCCCAGGCTGTGGTTGACCCAGCCTACCAGTGGTTTATGCCTAGTGCCTCAAATGCAGTTTCACCAGGGTCCCAGATTTCACCTCTTAGCACTCTATAACCCCCAGGCTTCAAATGGAAGCTGGGGCCAAAAGAGCCCAGAGCAAGAGGAGACTGAAGAGCACGACCTGACAGCGTATTCAAGTAGGACACAGCACCCTAGGATACGTATGCTGCAGGTACTCACCATGTTGTTCAGGTGGGGATGCATCCCCATCTTTGAGGGTTGAAATGAAGTTGTGAGATTGATAAAAGACGTCTGGTTACTGATATAACTGAGGTCTCTCTGCTTGATTCCACTAGTACTTGTCAAGGCTGTCAGACAGGGAAAGGGGGAGGAGGAAGAGGAAACAGGCTGATCCTTTCCAACCCTAACTATTCTGTGATTCTATGTGCTGAGGTTCTGAGTGATTCTCAAACAAGATGTGCTTTGTGTTAATCCTGAGTGGTAAAATGATCCATCACAGCAAATTCAGTATGGCAGAACCGTAACTGCTTATCAAACCCCACTGTGAGAACTTTGGACTGATGTAATTGGGGTCAAAATTTAACTGCATGTCTTTCTAATAGTATTTCTAAATGGCAGCATGTCTGAAAATATCAATTCAAACCTTTTAGGCAAATAATGTACAGAGCAGCAGGAAGTTCCAGTCAGAGCAATATGCAAAAAGTAAGTTAAATGTTATCTCGTCATAAAATGTGTCTTGATTGGCAAACTGTAAGTAAGGATCAAAGCAGTAATATGCTGGAGAAATAGCTAGATATAGCAGTGGAGGCATTAAGCTACCATTCAGTGTTCTTTTCTCTGTACTTATGTATTCCAGAGGATTCTTGCTTCCTCAAACCAGCTTCATGTCCTCTTGTCCAATGTTAATACTCAGTGATGACTGGAGTTAGACCCTTACTAAAACAAAGCTACCAAAGATTAACACAAAACAACATCCAGCAGTTGAAGAGCAAACTGTATTGGATTTATTACAGCTTATAGTAAGGATTCCCAAGCTTGAGTGGTGAAGAAACAGGAGAAACTGTGGGAGGTACTTTAATTCCAGACTATTTTGGTGCCTGAGATTACCAGCTGGCAGTTTAGCACAGAACAATCCCAGCTAGGGCAGTGGCTTGGATATGGGAGTCTGCAGGAGGCTCTACTGTGCCCAACTGTAAACTGTTTCTTCTCCTGAAGGCAGGGAGGAGTAGAAGCAGAGGCTAGTTTGATATGTGCTAGCTCCACATCAGCTACTGCTATCTCAAGCTGGGGTGGAGGCCAGCCATTTGCAAATTACATTGCACATTCCACTCCCTACCACACACATGGGTAACGTCTGTCTCCAAGCAGAGGTGCTATAGGAGTTGTTACATACCTCAGCCATTGATCATCTCTCCCCTAAGGATGGTGTACACTGTAAAAACAAACAACCCACACCCCAGCCAACCAGCCTGAACCCCCAAACCATGGCAGTCATTGCATGAGGCCACAAAAACATTCCATGGGCTCCACTCTCATACATGGCGGAGGCATTATCTAGGACTGCAAGCAAGCATAAATCATGCGTGTGGCCGTCTGTAGCAGAAAGGCTCACATTCCAGGTGAGGGAACGCTCTTAGATCTCTGCTGTTCATTATGGTGCCAAACACCTTAACACTTGCTCCTGGCCATTAAATTCTCCTAATGGAATGTAATGAAAACAGCCCCAACACAGCCTCCTCAGGCAGAGGCTGCTGCTCACTGTAAAGCAGCAAGGGTGATCCTTACTGTTACCCCACCACACACATGCACGTTATTTCCCAGATCCCTCTACTCTTCCTTCTCTCTGACAAATTCCAAAGTGGCACAATGATACCTTAAGGGAATGACAAAAAGAATCACAGGTGTATTTGGAGGGACTGGCTGCAAGCAGTGCTGCACGGGATGAAGCTTTGGATTATGTCTCGGGGAGATGGACAAAAGATGTAAGATAGCAGCTGGATGAAAACACAATTGAGTAGAAACCCACTTGTGAACTGGAAGAATGAAGGCAACAGACTGTAGGGAAAAAAGTTAATCAAGTGCTTACACTGATCAAATATACTGAGAAATACACTCTAGAGAAGCCTAAACCATTGCAGGAAGATTTGCAGATCCCTGCTTTCACTAACACCCCCAGAAGCAGTCATCCTTCACCAGTATTTACCTTAGAAAACACCACTACTTGACTTTATGATCAAACCAAAACCATGAAAACATTAACTTGCACCTTCAGCCTTGCCATCCTGCAGGCCAGAAACCTGCAACTGCCCAAACCTCACACTGGCTCTGGTCACGAGCTTTACAAACAGATGACAAATTAAGTATCCTTACAGAATACAATGGATTAATGTTCTGTTCCAATAGGACAGAGTCAAGTGTCACAGAAAAACATATTTATTTGCTGGTTTAGTTGAAAAACCTGTGTTTTCAGATATTACCACTGCTTTTCAGCAGAGCTTCTATTTAATTCACCAGCTCTTCCTATGTCCCTGTGCCCTTGTTCATCTTGGGAGCTGTATTGCTGGGATTCTACCAAGCCTGTACCAGCTGATGTGGCTCACACTGAATTTCAGTGGAACTGTTATAAAAACCCTGCAGGGTTTCTACAAAGGTCATCACTATGTACACAAATGTATGCTCAATGATACCTTTTTGTCATGCAAGATAAACAGTATGAATTACTGGGTAAATTCATGTGAACCCGGGTAATATACATACACCAAAGAACTTCTGTATAATCTAACTGTTCGAGTCAGTGACTTCATTTCAGGGAATCACAAGCTGGAATGCTCAGATTGTTCAGTCCAGGCTAACACAGAGCCATTTGCATGTATTCAGTTCCAGGCTAAGTCCACTCCTAAGTACATGCGTGGTCTGCAGACAGACTTCAACAGAGCTGCTACATAAATGCAAACCCATAACATGCTGATTTGGGGCACAGTGCTACTGGATTGGCCATTAACAAACCAAGTCACA